GCAAGGCTAAGGGACACTTTAAAGAGACAAATTTATTGTTTGATGAAGCAGAATGGTGTGATAATCTTTTAGACCCTGATGCTGTAAATCCTGAAAAATAATCTGGACTGTCTGGTCTGTGTCCTCCCTTGATTGGGGATGATCCGTAGATAAAAGTGAGGCAAGAAAAAAAAAACGTAAAAGTTAGGCGAAAAAACCTCGGCGCAAGGGAATATGGACATGGCAAGAAAAATTCTTACTCCTGTAAGCTATGAGCCGAGTCATCAGCCACGTTGGGAAGAACGTCATTTTTCTGTTATTAAAGATTTAGAGAAAAGCATTAATAAGGACGGGCTGCAAAAACTCAGATTACAACAGCTGTACTGGAGGTGATGGCTCAGGGATATCGACTGGCCCCATAAAAATTGGCTAACAGTTTTAAGAAAAAAATGATATTCACACCGGCACAGTACTTTATCTGAAAAAAAGAGCGTGTACATCTCTGTGCGTGGCGTTCGGAGATGGCGGCGGCGGCCCGGGGCCTCCCCGAGCCCTCCCACCGTGAAGCGGCCGCCTGCGGCTGAGCCCGGCACTGCGCTCTCGGCACCCCCCACCAAAAGCGGCAGGGTTATGCAGCACAGCCTTTATATGTTTTTAATGGACTCTTTGTATTGGTAATATTTGTCATTTTATGCTGTGAGTAATAAGTGTCAGGATCTCCTCTGTGTGTTTGTGGTGTGTGTGTGAGACGCCGCTCACTGCAGCTGCGGAGTTCTCCGGCCAGGGGAGAGGCCAGCGAGGAACTACAGGGTCCTAGTGCCCGCCCGCTGGGTCATCGGTGCTGCGGTTGATTTGGGCTCAGTGTTCTGTTACAGGTAAAATACCTCCTCTAACGGGAGGCAGTAATTCTGTGCTGATTGTTGTCTTGAATTTAGGTGCATACTCTGTGGGGAGAGTGCACCTCTGAACTATCTGCCTAATGGAAATATTTGTAAAAAAAAAAAAAAAAAAAAAAAAAAAAAAAAAAAAAAAAATCATCTGCAACCTTACAGGGGTTGTTTTACCAGGGTTGTAGATGCTGATTATGAAGAGAAAAATAAAAATTATGGTCTGTACCCCTGTGTTCAGTAACAAAAAGGATCAAAAAAATATTCAGCTTGTTAATTTTACTGCGGCTCCCTTTAATATTGTGCCAAGAAGCCGCAATTACTCAGGATTTGGTTCAGCAGGTACTCCTTAAATATTTTTGGACTAAAACATGACACAAGGTTAACTTCTGGTAAAATGCACTCTCGTTAAAGCTAAAAAATCTGTGAGCTGACAGGCATTTTAGATACTGGTGCAGATGTGACCATAATATCTGTGAGCAGATTGGCTGTTAGCCCTGGTACCTCAAATGCTTTTCGGGGTTGGTGTCATGCTGTAGCAATTTAAAGCAAGGATCTCATTCATGTAAGAGGCCTAGAAAACTGGGTAACAAATATTCATCCATTTATATTAAAAAACCCCAATTGCATTTTGAGGTTGTAACTGATGAGGAACTCAAACTGGATCAAATTTGTCTTAATCGCCACTGTAGCACAACCCACCCTGAAACCCACCCTGAAACTAACCTTGTAAAAATCACCTGTGTGTGTTGTCCTGCAACAACTTAAAACTGTTATTAAGACTTTAAAAGATTTACAGACATTGTTAGGAACCGTAAATTAGATACAGCTGTCGTGGGCCTGACTCATGATGATCTGCATAGCTTATTTAATATTTCGTGAAAAGATCCTTCACTGACATCACCCAGAGTACTGACAGAGAAAGCAAAACAAGATCTTCACCTTATAGCTAACAAGCATCGGAAGTATACTGCATTCCCCCACAGGACAAACCATCGTAGAAAGAGCACGCCAGATCTTGAAAGTGCTTTTGCAAAATCAAAAGGGGGGAGAGATCTTGGCTCCAGGTCAGCCATTTGCTCTGCTGTAAAACACATGCATTTTTTCCACCAGAATGCCAGAGCAATACAAAACCAGTTTTCTTTATCAAGGTATCAGACTAAAGACATCACTGGAACTTGCCCTGAATACCAGAAAGACTCCATCTCTTCAACAGGGAAGTGGTGTCAACTCTTGGGGACTCACCTCCTCAGAATTATAGCAATATGTTGTCACTCACACGGCTGCAATTCAGATATTAAATATGTACATGTGTCTGTTAATACCTTTCCTGGAGCACTGTTTGCATCGTGTCAGAGAGTGGGGAGTCAAGCATCTGACCTGCATTCCTCATTCACCGGCTGGTCAGGCCACTGTGAAGCATACATCTAGCAAGCTAAAGCGTCTATTACAGCAACAAGAACAACAAAGGGGCAAGATGCAACATACCAATCTACACCTCACAAAAGGCTAAATAAGGCTTTAGATGTCATGAACATTTTAAACATTTCCCCTGTCTCACAAGTGCCACCAGTACTGTGTCATTTTTCATCACAGATACCAGATCAACAAGAAGTCCAAAGTAAAGCTCAAGTGTTAACAAAAACCTAGAAAGTAGTAACTGAGAAGGACCATATCTTTTAATAACCTGGGGAAGAGGTTATGCTTGTGTCTCCACAGGTCTCATCTCCAATGGTCACCGGCAAGGTGTGTGCAACCACACCTGAGGCGTGAGAGGCAGCCAGCACTCAGGATCCAGCTGTGGGTGCTGTGGGTGCCCCTGTGCCGACAGTTTGCGATCTCTTAGACTGATCATTTAAGCAGAATGTCTGAGTAATGTTTGCTACTGCAACAGAACAAACTACACTACAGTTACCAATTCTTTTAAGAGAAAATGCTAACAGTAATTGTAACTTCTTAATGACATATATAGGCTTACTAGTCACTTATGCAAGATGTGCTTTAGATGAAATATAGTTATTAATAAGGATAAGATGCTGTAAGAATGTGTGTATTCCACTTTCTTTGTTTAGTAATATTAAGAATTAAGACCTCAAGTATTTAACCTTATTTAGAAACTCCCTTAGTTTTCCCCCTGGAGTACTGGCCAGGCTCCAGGTGGAACCCAACAGGAGGATGAAATCAGATGTTTCCGCTCAAAGAAAGTTGCCAGTTATTTTGGCCTGTTGATTTAAAGGCTGGACCTGCCTGCAGCGACTTTGGATGCCTCACCTACAGATGGACGCATCACGTAGGGTTTCCAGTTTGTGAGGAAGGGCACTCAAAATTCTCGCTGTATCCAGGGTTCCCTAGCAATTGCGGATCTGAATGTTAGTACTTCTATTAATTAAGTGTGCTATTCCATATTTTCCTCACTGTTTATTTTGTAGTATTTAGTCATATCCTTTGAATATAGGTAATATGGGATGCTTTGTACTTAATAGGGTACTTTTAACAGTTTATTGTGATGGTTAGGAATAGTATTATTGATTGTATTAAGTATTAAAATAGCATATAGTTGTATAAGGAGAAATATTAGTAAATTTTTGCTTGTGCAGCCTGCACAAAAAGAAAAAGGGGGAACTGTTGGAGAACGGCTTGCAGAGAGCAAGGCCATGGGTCTCTGCAGAAGCTGATTGCAGCCATCTGAGGTAAACAAAGGAAAAAACCCAGGGTACAGTTATGCTAACAAAGGACTGTTATGTTAACAAAGAGAGAAACTGAGGTACATTATGGCCTTGTGTATGATAAAGGAATGGCCTTGTGAAAGAAAGCAGACCAGAGGAGGGAAGATGTTGTGACATACCTGAGATACCACAAGGGGCTGGGATATTATAATGTAGCTTTTTACATGTATCCAATAGATTTGTGAGTAGTATGCATGATTATTGTAGAGTGCTTATATAAGGTGTGATTTCTTTCAATAAAGTTGAAGCTTGCTCTATCATTCACATTGAATTGGCTGCTTGCTTCCTCCGCCCACCGCACTTCACCATTGTTTCCTAACCACCAAGGTATAGAAAACACAAAATTTATCTTATCTTCTTCGTGCACAAACATCTTTCTATATAGACATATCTACATCTCAGTCTTGATGCTAGGTTTTGCATAGAGTCATGCACTGAAACAGAGCTGTAAGTGAACCAGTGCTGACACAGACAGCTTGTCCTAGAAACATAAAGCGCTTAATTTGTTGATCTTCCTCACCTTCAAAAGCATCCTGGCATACGGCAAAGAGACTAAAATACGAACATGTATCTTCACCACTCCAGTGCAGCAACCAGAGGAGTAAGTGGCACGCTGTCTCTGCAGATGGTTTTATTTAGAGACCCCAGGGGCAGAGAGAGCACCCGACTGTGTAAAATGTTCCAGCAAAGCCATTAGAAGCAGCTGGCAAAGTAATTCTAAGTTGTAATGCCCACTATTGAAAGGACCTGTATTTTTAAGAGATTTATCTTAATTCCTCTTAAAATCTTTAACTCACAGCTACATCTCCAGTTCCAGTCTTTACCAGCATAAGCCGTATATTTCCAGGAATCACTACTGCTGCTTCTTTTCTATTTAATATGGGGTTGTTCCTGCAAGATGGGTTTTGTACACTATCTAGGAGAGAAAACCACACTGTTCACGTGCGCTGACAAACATAAGAAAAAGAAGCTGCAAAGAAGTGATGAAGTCTTGCTTTAGCATTTCAGGCTTTTCTTCAGCTAATACCCTAAAAATGACCCATTCTGAGGGCAAAGTCTCCCAGTGGGAAGCATACTCGATTCACAGTGTCATGCCCACAGCTGGGTTTGGGCTCTAGTTCCTGGCCTTTGACTTATTACTCATTTACTATGACTATCCATGACACTCTTGCCTTGGATTTATTATATATTTTCACAGAATCAGCTAGGTTGTAAAAGCCCTTGAAGATCATCCAGTTCAACCGTTAACCTAGCACTGACAGATCCCAACTACACCAGATCCCTCAGCGCTATGTCACTATTTTCCATCAAACAGTAACTGGGTAAAGGCGAATATAATCCCGGGAGCAAGGAACAGGACCCAGCACTCTCCTCCACACGGACTGCTCTGCTCTTTGGGTGGCAGGAGCTGCTCCCACATGCTCCCCCTCTGCCCATGTCTCCTACTCTCCACTACCATGAGGTCTGCAGTCAGTGGAGGAAGCTGAGGATGCTCCGCGGGTTGCAATGGTTCAGGAACTCGTAGGAGAGGGGTGGATTTGAACTCCTTGGGTCTAAGGAGGGCACTGAACTTGGATATTTCCCCCAAGTTCTAACTGCTCAGCTGCGACACAAAACAGGGGGGTAGCACTAGTAGAGGCCATATTTCAAAGGAATGAAACGTGCAGGTTGCCTGCACTGACAGAGAAGTGCCTGGCTCCAGTTCAGAGTGAAGCCGAGGGACACACGTGGGCACACCCAGGTTGACAAGTAGGTGCCCAGTCTGGGAGACAGGCACTCCTCTGCATCTCCTGGGGACGGGACGGGGAATGCTCTCTGCTGTGGATCTCGGATTGCAGTACCCAACCGCCCCCTCTTATTTTCGATACTCCAGCCATTCAGCGCTGTGGCAGGAGCTGCGCTCCCAGAATGACGGTGAGAAACGGAGCACAGCAATGCCCAGCATTGCCAACCCTGAGGCTACCAACAGGCAGCCCCTCCCTGTCCCTCCGCGCTGCCCAGTGAAGCCGTCGCTCCCCACTCGCGGGAAGACGCCCACCCGACTGCCTGTGCTCCCTCATCAGACAGAGCAGTTAATCACAGCTCAGAGGGTTGCATGGCACGGTAAGAGCAGGGAACTCGAGCAGCTGACAAAGACGCCGTCAGGGCAGATGTGGAGCAAAACTTCCAGTGTGTCTCCATCAGTGGTTCAAAACTGCTGGGCGAGGAGACTTCCAGCTCAAAACCAGACAGACAACTTCGGCGAAGAACTGCAGTGTGGATCCTGCTTCCCTGCCTTTAGATCTAAACTTGATTTTACTCTTGCCCCTCAGTTCATACTGCTGGTTGTCTGATCTAAACTAATTCTTTATCTTGATTTTTGCTCATCTAGCTTGCTTACTCTTCTCACTTTGGAAGAAGATTTGTTATCAAATAGTCAAAATTTAGCTCATGAAGCAGTTTTCTGATCCCATCTAAGTACTGTTGTTTTGGTAGTAATGGGAACTGCATTAACGCAAATTATATATGCAGATCCCAAAATAAATACAGAATGTGACTTGTGTTTGCTGTGAAATCAATGATTCAAGCTCTTCTCTAAACACAGACACTACAAACTAATTCCCGAGAGTGGCTGAGAGCCATCATGTAAATTCTGTATATCACGACTCTCTGAGCTTGGGTGTTTCTTAATTGTTTTCAATTCATGGATTTATAGAGCAGCCACAGGCAGATGTTGGAACAGACAAAGACCATTACAAGAATTTTTGTTTTCTGCTTTATAGACCTTTAGGAGATTCTTCATACAGGAATCAGCTCAACCTAAATATTTTTCTGTGCTTCTATATGCAGTTTGAGCTGTTCTAACACCACGTTAAAACTGGCTCACATCAACTGTCTCTCCTCAGCCTGAAATGACCTTTGCCAGGGGGAATGGATGTTCACAGAGTAGAAGGGAACAGTCTGGGCAACATATCTTCCTCTTCAAACAAAAAGGCTCTTTCAATAAGAGGTGGAAAGATGCTACTTTGCTACACCAACCTCATCAGGAACATTGAATCTGGAGGTTCAAGAAATAGTCATATAACATGATACTCAACCTGCATAAGAGCTTTAGAAAACAGATGTGTAAATCCACCTGCAGACTTCTCTTACTCAGAACAGACACTTATCTTTTCTAAGGAAGCATGTAGGGTCACCTCCGAAGATTTTTCCTATACCTGGCACTACTGTGTGTTCTGCTTGAAGAGAAATGGATGGCAATATATTTCAAGCCCCTTGGGGAAGCGATGTACACCTTGCAGTGGCTGGAGGCTGGATTTATGAACAGATGCCAGGCCCACAGCTCCAAAGCGAGCATTTTGGAAGCAACACTCTCCCTGTCTGCCACCTCACTTGGGCAATCCCTGTCCCAATCAGCAAAGCTTCTCAGCTTTTCAGGAGCAGGCTGGCTTTAAAAGTGCTGAACAGCTCGGCGCCTGGCTCCTCTCCAGGGACTGGGGTGAGTGTTTCACACTACACCAAGGGCATCAGGGTCCACGCAGAAGCAGCCCAAGGAAAGCTCCCTTCTGCTGTCTGCTTCACTGGGGAAGGGATCCACCTGGGATTTGCAGGACCACATTTAACTTTGAACTGGGAGAAGGCTGCACATCATCTCCCCATCGCACCACCTGGGACATGCATCCAGCAGTAAGAAGCGGAGGAAGAAACAGGGTTCCCAGCCTCTCAGCTTATTGTGGCCCTCTCCAGCTCCTCCATAAATCCACCCCCTTTAGGACACCTGCCTGTCGTCACTACCCGCTGCTACATGGTGGGATCCCAAAAGGCCTGAATTTCCCACAGCTCCCACCTCCATCAGGAGACCCCTACCCAACCCCTGCAGCCAACACAACTGAGAAAACTAAGCTCTACAATCTAAAGTTTTGGGCAAAGTTGATCTAGCTGCTTGTCCAGATGCTGGTTTCGGGTTTATTTTCTTCGTTGTGGTTTATTTACTGGAACAGGGACTGGACATGCATTTCTCCCTTCTCCTAGCTGTGGCAACTGAGACACGGACTCTCCATGAAGTGCAAAAGGAAAGACCCTTTATTATTACAATAGGACATATTTATGCTATGGTTAAAGCTCTTACTTCACAATTAGCAAATCAGCAATTCGACAGCTCTCAGCCTTTTCTCCTATCAGCACAGGACCACTCTCACAGGGGCTGTGCAGACCAATCACGTGCTCGCTCAGACGCTGTTCACGCGGCGGTAACTTCTCACAGTTCAGGACTTTCCCACAGCTCAGTGTTGCTGCTGTCTGTTGTTTTTTCCCTGACACCCTGGCACAACTCAGCAGTTTCTGATCTTTCTCCCAAGGCCTGTTTCTCATCAAAGCCTTGCTGCTTCTCAAGGGCTGCGCCGAGCTGACATGCCGATGTCGACTTGCCTCTCTCCCACACCTAGTTAAAATTGTAAAGGAATAAAAAAAAGAGTCCTTTGAGCATATAATACCATAGAATGGGACTGTCAAGTCTGGTTTATGTCTGTTCTGCCTGCTACATTGCTATATACATATATGAGAAAGAAAAAATAACACAAACCTTTCTCATTGGGGTCAATAGAAGAGTCGCTCTCACTAGCAATGTGCAAGGCCGAGTCAAACAGCTCGGCCAAGACCTGCTCATCAAATGCCCACGGTGCCGACAGCGCGGAGGCTCCTCCTGGGCCTGCAGCGGTGGTGTCTGCTGGCCTTCACACAGTTCCTGCCAAGAGAATGCCACCTGTCAAACATTCAGACTTCAGCTGCCACTTCTCTGACCTGGAAGAACAACCCAAACAACAGAACGACCGAGGACACAAGTCTATGCAGCATCTGGTCCCTCCAGCCTCTACTTCTGCAAAAAGCATTCCCAGGAGGAAGTGCTGGAGAGCAGGCGCGCATTCAGCCTGGCCAGCAGCAAAACCCCCACAGGCTGGAGGGGAACTTCCTCCTCAAGGTACTGGTTTTCTTTATGGTAGATCTGAAAGGCAAGTGTCTTGTGTCTGGCCAGACTAAGCCTTTCCTGCTGCCTCAGCATGCCCTGATCTCCAGACACATGGCTTTATCAGGACTGCAAATACAGATGACAGTTAGGCGTGGGGCAAGCAGAAGGTGCTCCAGGATTTTCTGCAGTTTCCAGCATTCCTATTTTCTACCCTGTTTGTTATAACGAACAGGATATTCTGTTATATCCTAAAAGACAAGAGTGAAAAAAAAATTTATAAGGTTGAGTTACAATGAATAATACAGGTATACCTTTCCAGCTTACTGCTGATAGGGAATTACTCCTATCATCCATTGACTACTTGGAAATCACGGCTGCATTGCGCTGCTACTTAGGTTATAAGGTAGGAGGATGAATTTTTGAATTTCAGAGCCTTGCAAGTATTTGTTTAGGGTGTTACCATCATGAACACAGATAAGCTAACTGCTTGACGTACAACTGTATGAGGTGTGGAAAAAGCTTGCTCTCAAGCTTGTCCTCTTGATGAGCTATCTAACAAGGCAAAGTCCCAGAGCACAGCTGCTTCAAAGAAACAGTCTACTGCCTTGGTTTGCCCCAGAAACTGCAGATATGGGTTGTTTTGCTAAAGGGTTTGTGAGCCTGGCTTTGCCCCTCCTCCTTCAGCTTGCCAGGCCATGGCTCCTCCTTCTTCTGCCAGGCTGCAGAGCAGAGGGTGGTTGCTCAAGGTGCACCAAAGCGGGTGGTTGCTCAAGGTGCACGTCTGCCTGACACACCATCTCAACCTTTATTCCGTGGTCCCCAGGCTCATCAGAACACAACTCTGGAAAGCAAAAGCATAAGGAAAGACACGTGTTGGGGTCTGTTGAGCTTTAGAAGTCATGACTCTGCCTTTTGATTCAGTAGGACAAACTACATCCAAACACTGTGCTGCAGAATGACTCATGTGAAGTAAGATGGCAAAAACCTGCACCCCAACTGAAGAGGGACATGGTCGTGATTGCTGAACCTCTGACACTGTGTGCTCTGCCAGCCCTGATGCCCTCCTCGGGAAGGATTCCTGGCAGCAGGCATCACTCAGCAGATGTCAGACACTGCAGCCCAGAGCACCGGGTCTCACTGTGAAGAACACGCAGCTCTCTTCCTCCCCCTGTCAGAACTGCCCTGGAGGTGACACCACATCTGAAATGTGGGCTCTTGGTTGGAATGGTACCTGTCTCCTACAAGACAGCTAAGTGACCATGCTCAGAAAAGAAGGGCTACAGAGAACACAACACAATCTACATTAGTCAGGTGGTAAGAGAACAAAACTCCCACCACAGACCACCTGGTTCTGTGCCAACGGAGAGAAGCCTCAGTGCCACTGGGCAGCAGACTCAGCAGGGCCCAGCAGTGGCACCGGTCACAAACCACAGGCCACATCTGATAGAGCATCTGGAAAAACCAAAGAAAGAAACCCTGGCTTGTGTGCCAGGTTGTGCCCTGAAACCTGAAGAAAGGTCAGTTAACTTCTGGAAAGGCCACCCTAATTCACCCTGTTTGTTAACATTCAAAGCAGTAAATTCCAAGATGTTATAAGGGCAATGGCTAGAGAACCACCACCCAAGGGGATGCTCCCAACTGCACCATGAACTGCCTGTTCCAGGTGTATCTGGATCGATGGCCTTTGAGTTGGCCATGAAATCAAGACCTTTACAGCATTCTACCCTTCTGCACAGCAGCGTGTGCTCTTACCTCCTCAGGCTCAGGTGCTTTTGGCTCCAGCTGCTCCTGCACTTGCTCCTCAGCCAGGGCTCTCCTGAGATCTTCTCCATGCCTTGGAGTCTGAGGACAGTGATGTGGGATACTCTGGCCAGGTGGGAAGAAAAAAACCAAAATCCATCCCAGATTACTTTCTGTATGAAAGCGGTACTCCTTCTGCCCACAGGTAAAAGAAGACGATCACCTCTCGCCCCACAGACATGGAGTTCAGGGCCCTGACCCCCAGGAGGGAGTCGTGGGCTCCGTGTACCATGGGGGTGTTTGCTCCCCAGGCCTGTGCTGCACCCAGCTCCTCGGGACCTGCCCCACAGGGCCCTGCCCCAGCGCCCTTCTCGGCTGCCGCGTGGGCCAGAACAGCCACAGCCAGGCACAGGGCACCGGCGTGAGCACAGGGAACACAGGCTGCCCCTCTGTGCTCTCACCCCGGCACTGGAGGTTTCCGCCCCAACTCCTCCAGGGAGGAAGAGGCCTGTGTCTTGATGGCTTCCCAGCCCAGAAAGGCCGACCCTCCCGCCCATACACCATGCCAAGGAGGAGAAATGTAGCCACTGCTTACTTTTGCCTGGCACTGAAGCAAAGCCTTGACGGTCGAGGCTGTTAACGTCACCGGCTAGAAAAGAGAACAAAGGCCAAGAGGGAGAAACTCCTCTGATGGTCCATACTAGAAAGCAGAGTCACTGCCTTGACCCAGCTAGAACAACAAAGACACTTACAGATCCACTGAGGTCCAAAACTTTCATGAGTAGACCAATTGAGGCAGTGGGATCATCTGCATCTTCTGGGCTCTACTTCTTTGCTTGTGCACAGGGAATGGACAAAGGAAGAGCTCTGTATCACTGAACCTGGCTTTGCTGTCTCCCCTGCAGCACCCCCAGCACTATTTACATCAGAAGAAATCCAGGCACAAAAGGAGCAAGTGGTGGCAGCAGGATTGGCTCGGTGTCACTTCGCCAACACGTAAAGCTGAGTAAGTTGGCCAGCGCTGCCCCAGCAGTGGGGGTACCTCTCCCCCAGCTCTCGAGCTCCCTTTCAGCTCAGCTGGAGCATCCCACTGACGGCCATGCTGGTGCCAGAGGTTTGCTACTGCAGCGGGGCTCACCTGAGGATGGCATCCAGCCAGAGCTCTTGCCTCCGGGGAAAGAGCTCTTTCCTTCCTCCAGAGCTCTTTTCCAGGGCTGCAGCATAGGGCTGGCACCAGCTGGGGCTCTGCTGCGAAAAAAAGGCAGGGGTGACCCTGGAGTCCCACCCATGTACCCGGTCCTGGGACATAGCAACCTGCCCGTCCGCCCATCACCATCACGGGACCCAGAAAGCAGCACCTCCAGCCCTGGCGTGGACCTGAGCCGTCTCTTGACAGAGGAGTCTCTAACCAGTGGGCCTAGAAAGAGGGCAAATTTCACAGAATTAAGCTGTGCTCAAGTTTTTGCAGACAGTATGGTTTTTTTGAGCTGCCTGGTGGTGCTGTTGCCAGGGAACACGCAAGACGCAGGCAGGGGGTGGAATGTGCACAGCGAGAGCGAGTGATGGTTTGTGCAGCTGTTCAATGGGTTTGGCCTTTAAATGTGACCAGCCTGGTACGCCTGGTTCCTTTTTCCTTTTCAGACTGTATTTAGAGCTTACATTATACTTTTTAAAAAGCAAAACAAACAAGCAGACAAAGGAAAAAAAAATGGGCAATTTTTCTTCCCCCAGCTGGGCTTTTTTTCCCTAGCCCTGGCCACTTTGCAGCATGATGATTGGCAGCAATATTAGTGCACAGGACTGGGCCCAGGGCAGGGCTTTTGCAGGCAGCACCTTCCTGAGGCTCCCAGTAATGCAGTTCAGGGGAAGCGCTCGAGAAATGGGGGCACTCACCCATAATGGCTCTTTCTGGTCTCTCCCCATTGCTGTCTGTCCGGATCCCTGCCCCCATTTTTTAGTTCCTCCCTCTCTGTCTTTAGCCCATCACTATTTTGTCTTTCTCTTTCTTTCTCTGTCTGACTCCCTGTCTGCAGTTTCTCATTCCTCCCTGTCTGTCCTATAGCCTATTGCTACTTTTTTATTTCTCCACACTCCTTCTCCCTCTCCTCTTTTTTTCCATCTCCATGTCCTGCTCTCCTGCAGCCTGGCCCCTCTCTCTTGCCTGTCTCCCCTGCTCAGCTGCCTGGGCCTTCTCTCTGGGCCTCTGTCCTGCTCCTCATCCCCTTCTGCTCTTCTTCCATCTCCATCCCGGAGGCCATCACTCTTCTGTTCTTCTCTGCCCCTTGTCCTGACCCACACCCTGTTTCTCAGTCTCTAGGGACAGTTTCCATCTTCTCTTGCTCCGTGCTGTGCTCTGTGTCCCTGCCTCTCCCTTGCTCTTCCCTGTCACCCTTTCCCCTCCATCCCTCTCTTCTGCTCCTTGTCCCATGTCTCTGTCCCTCCACTCTCCTGGTGCCTTTACTGTCTCTCGCCCCCCGGCCCGCTCACTCACCCTGCCTGTGTCTGTCCGTCCCTCTGTCCTCCTTCCTGCCCTTCTCCCCTCGCTGACCCTCCATCCTGAGGCTCATCACTCTCTTTCTTCCTGCACTCACTGTCCCCTTCCCCTCCACCCTCCTCCCGCTCTGCCCCTCTGCCCTGCTCCTCACCAGTATTCCTCCTTCCCCCACTCCCTGCCCAGCTCCCCCCACTCTCCTCATCCCACTGCCCATTGCCCATTGCCCATTGCCCATCCCTCTTCAGCCAGCTCAGCGCCCGTCCCACCTCTCTCTGCCACTCTGTCCCTCTCTCTTGTTTTCTCCTTCTTCTCCTTCAACTCTTCCCTCACCTCTCCCCTGCTCCAACGGAGCAGCCCGGGGAGGTGGCCATGGGGCTGGGGGCGGGGCCGGGCCGGGGGACGGTGTCCCCGCAGGGTCAGACCGCGGGAACCGGCGCCCCGGGGCATGCTGGGAGCTGCAGTCCTGGGCTGCCGGGTGGCCATGTTGGCTCCCGGGAGGTGCAGCCTCTGCTCCAGCTGCGGCCCGGCTGAGGTCAGTACTGGGGTCACCTGTGAGGAGTGAGGCCCCTGGGCAGGGGTCGGGGTTTCTCCTGCCCACTGGATGCCTGGGGGTATGTGTGTGCGCTCCTGGTCAGCTGGAGCCAGGCCTGGCCAGCACAGGCCCAGGAGTAATGTGAGAGCTGGGGAGGGGAGGGGGTGGAGACAGACCCCCTGGGCACAGGCACCGGGCAGCCCTACCCCCAGAGCCCCCGGGAGACCCCCAGCACCTTGAGTTACTACACTAATAGCAGTAGTGTGGTTTTCTGTTAACTCTTACAGGGCTTTTGTTGTCCTTCAGGGTTCATTACCCTGTGTGCAAAAAAGGGAATCTTACACACGGAGCTGAATCAGTATAATCTGTATTTGTGCAAAGATGGGGGCTAGGTTCAATTCCACAAAGCTGGCATGCTACACAAAGGAACTGCCGTGTATTTATCTTGTTACATGATTAGTAAAAACCTATCTAAGATTACACTCATGGGTCTGTAATTACTATTCCATCTGCTATTGGTTAGTTATAGTTAAATTACCCTCGCTTGCTGTGTAAATTAGCACACATGCTCCTTAGAGGCGTGGGAGGGCTGATTCTTTCTGGTCTTGAATTGAGTTAGTAGTCACAGTCTCCCCACCAACTCTCCCTCCCCCTCACCACCTTTGCCTTTCCCCCCAGTTATTGCTGATTCTTGCTGAATTCATGCTTCTCAGACAATCATCCAAGCATCTGGCATCTTCTGGGACAGGATGTTCCCCTCTTAACACTCCTTTAGCTGCTCTTCAAAGGTAGAGCTGTTAGCCAGGCACCCACTGTTCAGGCAAAGTTGGAGAAACTCACTCCCTTATCTCCTGGTTCCTTCTTTACATGGCAAGAGTCTTAAATAAGAAACTGCCCCTGTCATTCTTCTATTTACAAGGTCAGAATGAGCAGAGAAGACAATTTCCTAGAGACATCAGGAAGGCCAGGCTGTGAGCTCTGCTGCTCCCCGGCTGTACTCTGGCTTTTAGCCTGGTGCTCAGGGCCACCCAGCTCACAGCCTGTCTGCCAGCGCGTTGCCCAGGGGGTGACAGATGTGGGTGTCCAACACTGGCCCAGATAAACACCGCCATTGCTGCGGGGCTGGGCTGTGCCCCAGTTTACAGGGCAGGACTGAAGCAGAAACGGGGCTGTGAGAAGGGCTCAGGACCAGGGCCCTGGCCATGTAACCCCCAGAAAGGGATGGCACCCCAAAGATCAGGACATAATCTGCCACTTTTTGGTTTTACCCTGATTTGCAACAGTGCCAATGGAAGTGCCTGAGACCACTTTAAAGTAGTTTCTTGACTTATTTTGCTAATTTGCCTTTTTAGGGTCGGAATCATTCTTTCTACCTTTCTGCTGGACTGTGGCCTCCATGGTGTATTGATTAACAGAAAAAAGACTCTACAACTCAAATAGAGTTATAAAGCAGGTGTGTTTACTCTGGCCGGGGTGCAAGGGTATTTCTCTACAAAGTGGTACAGAGAAATGATTATTGTTTGGAGATTTATTTACTTATTTATAGCAAGTTATAGTATTACTTGTAGCATTTTTTTTTAATATTGCTAAGAATCCTGCTCTCCCAGACTGATTTGTGGAATTTTGCCCAGCGTCCCTGGGGGGCGGCAGGGGGGTCGGGGCAGCCTCCAGAGAGCCCCCCCACACCTGCCTAAGGCAGTGATTCGTGGAAAAAAGACTACAACTCAAACAGAGTTACACAGCAGGTATGTTTACTCCGGCACTAGGGTGCAGGGGGATTTCTCCACAAAGCTTGCACACCCACCACACATTTTACCAAAAGTTTCATAGAGTGTGGATATCCATATTCATTGGACTACATAACACAAACATACACATGCATGAGTGAGGCTGGGTTAGTTAGAAAGGCTGATGTCAGCAGTTTATGTCACCTCTGCGCATTGCCTCCTGGTGGGCGTCTCCGAGGGGCTTTGGGAGGAAGGCTCGTAGTCTTTCTCACTTTGTTTTTTCCCCAGAGCATTCGCAGATTCTCTTGGCCAATTTCTTGAATAACAAGAGTGTTTTTCAGACGATTTACTTTCTGTCTTATCTAAGAGAACCAATAGAACTTCTACCATCCGTATATGGCTATCTTTACTCATCAGCAAAATTCCAACTAGTCAGAGCCACCTGTTCCTCAAGGCCAAAAGTATAACATTTTGCTGAACATTGTAGTCCTTGGTAGATTTTCACAGTGAACTGCCCCTCCCGCTTTCCGTCCGCGGGAGGCAGGCGGGAGCCTGTAGGACCCAGCGGAGTCCCCGCGAGCTCCGTGCCCTGCGGCGGCAGCCGCTCCTGCCGGGGCTGCCCCG